AATGGTTATTGGTGTATGTAATTTAATTTGATTTTCTTTTTTGAATATAATTAGGGTTAATAAAAGAAAAAGTAGCACCAGTATCTATAAGGAACTTGAGAGCTTTATCGAAAATCTTATTTACCATAATATACGGTAGTTTTGACTTGTTGTCTTTTTTTATCAGGTACCCTGTCTGTTATCTGAGGCTTCTTGTGGAAAATTTGCCGCCTCATTAAAATTGTGTATTTGTGCTTGTTGATCAGCATTCCTTAACGAATTTCTGGACTGATAGCTGGTGGTTTGTCTATTGGATTGTTTCTGTTGATTATTATTCTTATAGGTATTATCTTTTGGCATAATTGCTAACATGTTATTTCTTTTGTAATTATTATCAATATTGTCATTATCGTTACGAAAACGCTTATAGTTACATTTTTCGTCATTGCCTCTATTATCGTTTCTATAATTATAGCTGTCACTACTACGTTTATGACTACGTCTTTCATAATTTTCACTACTTTGCTTATAATCTATACTTCTATTATTATGCAAGTATTGTTGGGATTTATATTCTTGTTTTTGGTCCGGTCTTTTCATATTCTTTTGAGCGAAAAAAGTTTCTTTTTCTTTCAACGCCCATTCAAAGGCGTCCCGAAGATTGGTCGGTTTCATAGATCTTATTGTAGCTCCTAATGGGCCTCTAACTCCTGTTAAAAATGAGTTGAGACATATGTCTGCAAACAGATTTTTTTTGTCTTTACCACACACTGCTCCGATTTTGTGGTTTCTGCTATTCTAAATAATGCTAGTTAAATCTCACAGACTTTGTCATATAGTTTACGTAACGATAAACCCTCCTGCACAGAATTGTGGAGCTCGAACATTAGAGTGGGTTCATCTCTCTTGTCCGCGCAATGCAAAATTAGGGCGTCCTTAATTTCTTCCCAATTAAGACTGGCTCCAGATTCGATGATACCCTCGCTAGCCTTTCCGACGATTTTATTTCGAATCGATCTTAGAAGTAGCTGACCATATGGCGTTTTTCTAGTGCCGCTAATTTGTGCTAATATTTCCTCCACATTGGTTACAAATTCATGTAAAGTTTTTGGATTACCATCGTACACAGGCAAAAAACGAATTGCGTCAGGTATCTTCAGTGTTGATAGGACATCAAGTGGATTAACATTTTGATCTCCTGGATCCGGAAGGACGTATTCTGATGAATAAGGCGTAGATGAATGATCGTCTTGTCTTGTTACGATGGCCTCTGTATTCTCGGATACACTGGTCTTGTTTCCAGTTCGACTCCTGGTATTTGGAATATGGTCTTTTGCTCCTCTCATGGTAGCTCTATCTGTTAATTAGGATTTATAATTAGTAAATATGTATTTTATATTTCAAATTTACGTGTAACCAAACCAAGGTAAGTATATAAATATATTGTTGTATTTGGTGCTTAAATTGCACTTAAATATATGTATACAAGTTGTTGAGGAACCTCACTACTAATTACAATAATCTGGTATATTTTATAGCATGTAAGATATTCTTTCTTGAGATGGTCTGGTCTGTTTTTGATATCTCTCTCTCTTGCTCTTGTGCACGAGCTGACAACATAAAATAAAGCGTAAATTCTTATTGTGAAATAATTGAGTATTCTTCTAACAACCAATTTGAAAATGGTCTTACAAACCATTTAGCGTGATCTATTCACCACCATTGTCTGGTCTTACAAACCATCAGCGTGATCTATTCACCAACATTGTCTGGTCCTTCGAGAGCCGGAATACTTCCGCATCTACAAACTGTTACACACCATGGAGCAACAGACGCTTAAACGCCTTACCCAAGCACGTGGTCGGCTAAAGGCTACCATAACTCGCTTGGTCAATTACATTGAGAATCCACCTCCACATAGCACTTACTCCGGAGTCGACGCCACGCTGGCACGTCTAAATCAAGCCTTCAGAAGCCTTGAGGAGATCATTGACGAAATGCACGTGTACGATAACGTTGAAGGTTTCGAGGATCCTACCGAAGATTTCCAATCGTATGAGGAAAAATACCTGCGCGCGCTTACCTTATTCGCGTCGTTAAAGAGCGAACTTCAGCCAAGCGCCATACCCTAAGCGGATCACAACATGGCCACACTGCTGCAACAGCAAAGTGAGTTCTTGCAGCGACTTGCTGAGAACGGAGCATCTACCTCGGCCACGCCGCCGCCTGCTGCAGTTTGTTTAAATGAAAACCCGTTGCCGAAAATCCACATCAAACCCTTTGGTGGAGACTACAAGGAATGGCCAGCCTTCAAGGACATTTACGAGAGCACGGTCCACAATAAAACCCACCTGGGAAAGATTCAGAAGTTTCACTACCTTAAGTCTTTCATAGTTGGTGAAGCGGCCAATCTTCTCAGTCACATGTCCATTACGGAATCAGCTTATGATTCAGCATGGGAACGCCTCAATGATCGCTATGATCGCCCAAGACATATCGTGAACTCCTTACTGGACACTTTCATGGCACTGGCTGCTGCCCCCAACGGCGAGGTGTCTAATCTACGCAAACTTACTGATGGCGCCAATGAAATCATTCGTGGGCTAGATGCAGTTGGGGAGACAAGCCGTGATTGCTGGGTGATTCATCTTGTACTGGCTAAAATTGATCCCGACTCTAGAAGGAAGTGGATAGAGGACACCAGAGGCTCTGCGACACCAACCGTTGCAGACTTGTTTAGATTCCTTGATGACCGTTGCGAGGATTTTGAATTAAGCCAAGCTACATCGGCAATCAAACTCGATCCTGGCAGCCACACGGACAAGCCTGCCAAAGCGAAGCGCGCACTTATTGCAGTGAACCGTAGCATTTGTAGTAAGTGTGGCTCTGCTGACCATCAGCTGTATAGATGCTCTCAATTTCAGAATCTGAACACCGAACATCGGCGCTCCTTTGTGAAAGGAAAGTCGCTTTGCTTCAATTGCCTACGCCCTGGCCACCGATCTTCACAATGTCAATCGAAACATTCGTGCAAGCACTGCAATGGCCGTCATCATTCTCTTGTACATCCTGAAAACATGGATTCCATGCCAGTTGCTCCTGCGGACACTGCACAGGCCAGTCCTCAAACTTCTGGATGTAGCTCAACTTTGGTCGCCCAGACGCAAAACAGCACCTCATTAACACAGTCACCGGGACTCAAAAGAAGCACATTGCCCACAGCTTTGGTGTATGTCCAAAACTCAAAAGGGACTTACACAATTGGTCGTGTGCTTTTGGATAGCGGCTCTGAGCTATCCTACGTTTCTGAACGATGCATCAACGCACTTGGGCTTGCTCGTTCACCCTCAAGAATTCTCGTTTCCGGAATATCTTCCGTCAAGGCCGAAACTACTAGAGGATTGGCAACGCTGCATATCAAGTCAATGGTCTCACTTCACACGATTGTTGTCGCAGCCCATGTGCTGGGCAAAATCACATCATCACTTCAACGGGATGACATTGACGAAACAGCTTTAAGGATCTACGATGGACTCCAGTTAGCCGATACTTCGTTTAACACATCTTCACCCGTAGACATTTTACTGGGAAATGAACAAATTTGGTCCGTTTTGTCAGGTGATAGAAAATATGACGCCGATGGAAATATTATTGCCATCAGCTCAATCTTTGGATGGATAATCACTTCAGTTGCAATGCCGCAACCATTAACCGCCAACACGCTTATGACTACTGTTGACATTAACGCCTCTCTTCAACGCTTTTGGGAGATCGAGGATAACACTGAGCATAGACAACGGGACCCTGCGCACGAAAAGGTAGAGCAGCATTTTCTGACCACACATTCCCGAGACCCAGACGGCAAATACATCGTTGAATTGCCTTTTAAACACGAATGCCAAGAGTTCGGAGACAGCCTACAGGGCGCTGTCTCACGCTTCTACGCTGTGGAACGTCGTCTGCAGCGTGATATGGAGCTACGCAAGCTATATTCAAAATTTATGAGCGAGTATCTAAGCCTAGGTCATATGCGTAAGCTGCCCACTGAAGAATGCAACACATCAGCAAAAACGTTTTATATGCCACACCATCCAGTTCTAGGAAAGAAGCTGCGCGTGGTATTTGACGGGTCATATGAAGACGTAAACGGGCACGCTCTAAATGACGCCTTACACATCGGACCCAGCATACAACGCAACCTTTTCCATGTATGCCTTCGCTTTCGAATGCACAAGTTTGTGTTTTCGGCGGACATAGTTAAAATGTTTCGCCAGATATGGGTTGCCCCTAAGCACCGCAGAGGCTCCGAAAGATCCTCTTCAACACTTTCAACTCTGCACAGTCACCTATGGAACAAGCTGTGCACCGTTTCTTGCTGTCAGAGTACTGGAACAACTAGCGCGAGACCACCAGGATGAGTTTCCCACAGCCTCAAAAATTGTGCTTGAGGACTTTTACGTAGACGACGTCCTCACCGGCGCTGAAACTGAAGACGAATTACTTAGCCGCCGCGACGAACTCATCCAGCTGATGTCCAAGGCTAAGCTTGAGCTTGGCAAATGGGTGTCTAACAGCAGCGTCATCCGCCACACCCGGCAAGACGAGCTCCAATTAACCAGTGCGGTTAAAGTTCTAGGAATGCTATGGAATCCCCAAGACGACGTCCTGTCCTACAAAGCTTCGCTTTCTACGGAGCCAGATGCTACTAAACGGCAAGTATTGTCAGATGTCTCACGAATTTTTGATCCTCTAGGTATTCTGGCGCCTGTGGTAGTACAATTCAAGATCCTTTTCCAAGAACTCTGGCTACTTGACCTGGACTGGGATTCAAAACTCCCACCGAAACTGGCTGATTGGTGGCAAACCTGTCGCGACGATATCAACTACATAACCAACCTAAGGATTCCAACGAACCGGGAAAAATCGAATTACATGGATTTTCAGATGCATCTATAAAGGCATATGCCGCTGTCGTTTACAGCCGTGTAAGCAACGCAGACGGCACCTGCTTGGTGTCACTTATGGCAGCTAAAACACGCGTTGCGCCACTAAAGCAACAAAGTCTCCCTCGGCTGGAACTCTGTGGCGCGCTATTGCTCACTCGCCTTCTCCGAGCTGTTAAAGAAGGCTTGCATCACAAGGATATAGTTGTGCATGCTTGGTGCGATTCCACGATTGTCCTTTCGTGGCTGTCGCACACCCCATCGAAGCTGAAGACCTTTATTGCCAACCGTACTTCGGAGATCCTAGATGTCATACCACGCAGCGCATGGCATCACGTTGGCTCAAAGGATAACCCTGCCGATTGCGCATCGAGGGGAATGCTAGCAGCCAATCTCATGAGCTTTGAGCTGTGGTGGAAGGGACCACATTGGCTACACCTCGACGATCTGCTTGCTTCAAAGCTGCGTAGTGGCAACAATCTCACAACAATTTTGGACACGCCCATAACGGATGGGCTGAAATCTTCTTCACTATCCAGCCGTGTTGAATCTGAACCTGAAGCGTCCCCGATTGAGTGTCTATCGTTTCGAGTTTCTTCCTGGACCAAGCTGATTCGCTGCACTGCTTATGTTTTACGGTTTATGCATCGAGGAATGAAGAAACGGATTCCGTCAAGCCTCACACTCACGTTTGAGGAAGTCAGCGAGGCCCGCATTTATTGTCTAAGGCAGGCTCAAGGAAGCTTCTCATCCGATCTACACCTGTTGCAAAGGGGAAAAGCTGTGGCAAATTCGTCAACACTTCGAACACTGTCACCCATGGTTTGCAAGAATGGCCTGCTTCGCGTAGGTGGGCGCCTCTCAAACTCGCTACTACCGGAGGAAGTCAAGCATCCAATTATTCTGCCGAAACATCATCGCATTTCTCTGCTTATTTTGGAACACGAGCACAGGATACATCTTCATCCAGGTGTGACAGCACTTTTCGTCATCGTTCGCCAACAATATTGGATAGTTGGCGCACGCAACATGATTCGTAAGCTTACACATGCTTGTCTCAAATGTTTTCGCCAACGCCACAAAACAACTGATCAATACATGGCGGACTTGCCAGCTGTTCGGGTACGTCAAGCATACCCATTTGAAAATACTGGGTGCGATTATGCCGGACCGCTTCTACTCAAGGTGCACAAGGGACGGAATCCACGAAAGGAAAAGGGATACATTTGTCTATTCGTCTGCCTAGTGACCTCTGCAATTCACCTAGAGCTGGCTACAGATCTCTCCACAGATACCTTTCTTGCTGCACTTCGTCGTTTCATCTCCCGTCGAGGCAAGTGTACCCACATCTTCAGCGACAACGGTCGCAACTTCGTGGGAGCAAAGAAGGTGTTAGACGAAATGTATAAGCTCATCCTATCACAGCAGCATAACACTCAAGTAACCCAAGCGTTGGCCAGCGAGGGTATCAAATGGAGTTTTATACCACCGCACGCCCCCACTGGGGCGGAAAATGGGAATCAGCTGTTCGCTCCGTAAAGCTGCATCTGCGTCGTGTCATCGGGAATTCCATCCTCACATTTGAGCAAATGCACACCCTTCTGGCTCAAATTGAATCCGTCGTCAATTCACGCCCACTCTTCGCTACGTCAGACATCGAGGTTTGCTACTTATCACCCGCACACCTGCTGATTGGACGCCCTTATACATCACTTCCAGAGGGCGATCTTGGCCACATAGCAGTTAACCGACTGGATTACTGGCAAAATGTACAGGCAATGCTACAAGGCTTTTGGAAGAGATGGCATCAGGAGTACCTCACTACACTTCAACAGCGCCCTAAGTGGAATACGGAGAGGAAGAACATTGCTACTGGGGATATGGCGATCATTAAGGATTCAAACACACCCCCCGCCGCTTGGACTTTAGCGCGCATAATTGAAGTCTACCCAGGCAAGGACGGGCTGGTACGGGCCGTAAAGCTGCGAACTTCATCAGGAGAACTTGTTAGACCCATTTCTAAAATTGCCATCCTGCCTAATTCAGAAACTTAGTTTCAGGGTGGGCCGGGATGTTGAGGAACCTCACTTCTAATTACAATAATCTGGTATATTTTATAGCATGTAAGATATTCTTTCTTGAGATGGTCTGGTCTGTTTTTGATATCTCTCTCTCTTGCTCTTGTGCACGAGCTGACAACATAAAATAAAGCGTAAATTCTTATTGTGAAATAATTGAGTATTATTCTAACAACCAATTTGAAAATGGTCTTACAAACCATTTAGCGTGATCTATTCACCACCATTGTCTGGTCTTACAAACCATCAGCGTGATCTATTCACCAACACAAGTATCGTTTCGAACATGTTTCAACTATACGTTAAAAAGGTTTGACCACATATAATTGCCCTTAGTCTGTGAGTCGCACTGAAACACAGAACTAACTGCAACTATCTCAAACATGCTCCAGGACACGTTCGATCGATTTGAGCACATATTGTTGCTCTAGTCTGTGAGTCGCACTGAAACACAGAACTAACTGCAATTGTCTCAAACTTGTTTCACAACTCACAAGATCGGTTTGAGCACATATTGTTTTCCTTAGTCTATGAGTCGCACTGAAACACAGAACTAACTGCAACTATCTCAAACATGCTCCAGGACACGTTCGATCGGCTTGAGCACATATTGTTGCTCTTAGTCTGTGAGTCGCACTGAAACACAGAACTAACTGCAACTGTCTCAAACATGTTTCCCAACACACACGATCAGTTTGAGCACATATTGTTGTTTTGCGCGTCACAACGCGTCGAATTTTGTTTTATACATACATACGTATAAACACAATATACCAAAAAAAAATCGACGACTGTTCGTACTGAAACGAACGATCCCGTTATCTCTGTGTGCCTCTGGCATTGTTCCAGCATATTCTTAGAAAAAACACAGCATAAGGGAATTTACATAAGCGAATCATTTACTTTGCTTCACCGCTATGTATGTCTGAATTATTCCAGCATATTCTTAGAAAAAACACAGCATAAGGGAATTTATGTACATAAGCGAATCATTTACTTTGCTTCACCGCTATTTATGTCTGAATTTCATCACTATTCTCAGCGTTTTTACTCGAAATCAATAATTTAAATACGTACATATATACATACCTTCTTTTATAATGTTGTGTCTGGTTTAATTTGGAGTAATAGGTAAGATTACGACTGCGCCAGTTACCAATATGTTTGTAACACTATTGGTGTAGATGTCCCTCTTTGCTGGTGTAATTTAAAACGCTCAGTTATTTATTTCTTATTTTAGGCTTTACTTTTTATTTCAACGTCTGCTTGATTGCCATGTTCACCCTTGACTGCCTTCAATCGAACAACGCCAAACCACTTCGCGATTCTGTCTTCTCTTTTAGTCGTTTTTTTATAACGGTAGTTCCCGATTGTGTCCAGTTGGATCGTGCCTCTTCGAGTTTGTCGTAGACTCAACATCTCTACGAATAGGGTAGAGAAGGTAACTCGAGCCCACTATCCTGTTTGTGTGTAATGGCGATTCGCTTTCGATTGGTGGACATATACCCGACATGAGCCTTGCCATCAGGATGGTTTGTTTTATAAAATGAATAGCCATTTAGGTGAAAGAAGTTTTTGTTAGTTAGGTGAGTTTCTGATATAAGCATGGCGTCAATGTCATACTGATCTAGGAACTGCAAGAGCTCATATTTGTGCTGAGAAATGCCATTCGCATTCCAGAAACATATTTTTAAGGTAACCACCAAACCGATTTTTGTTTAATTAATAACTCCAAAAGGAGATTTTGAGAGCGCATAAGTTCCTGCAGCGTTTGCTGTATTGCTACCATTGTGTTGGTTATAGTTACCAACATTGCTTCTACGCCATTAGGCAATTAAGTATTTGCATTCGCATGTTGGCCAGTAGTTTCTGGAGTCTGGTTCAATATTTGTTGCCGCACTGTATCAGCAGTGGTTTGCCGAACTGTCACCTTAGATACTGGGGCGTTCACCCCGTTGTTGTTACTTAAAGCCTGTGCAAAAGAGACTCCCGGGATCGTGGTCGTTGATATAAATGGAGAACTGTTTCGGGTTACAGGACTTCGAGCTGAAGTTATGTGTTGGCCTAGTCGACTTTTCAACTCTTTATAGACAGGACAACCTCTGTAATTTGCAGTGTGGTTTCCCCAGCAATTACTACATTTTATTGCAGAATGGTTATCCTTATTTATTGGGCAGGCCTCAGTTGAGTGTGCATCTCCGCAGGCAACGCAGACTGCACGTAGAGTGCAGTAAGTCTTCGTATGACCGTACTCCTGACAATTCATGCATTGCACGGGCCCATTCCGCTTGTGGGGCTCATCAACGGTGATCCTACGGTGCAGCAGATATTAAAGCTAATAAATTGGGTGGACTTCATTATTTTTTAGTTTCAAAGTTTCCGGCTCCAACTCTACCTTGAACATTGGCTGCGGAACTTTGTTTTTATTTAATATGTTCATAGCCTGTTTGACATTAAAGCCCTTTTCTTTAAGTCCAGCTATGATCTCAGAAATAGGGCCTGTTGCTTCGATGCCTTTTATTACTACTTGTAGTGCTTTGCAACTTTTAAGTTGGTAGGTGTAGTAATTTATTTTTCCGTTCTCAAGGTGTTGGGCAACAGATCGATAGTCTTGTTCGTTGTTCACTTGTATTTTTGTTTCATTTATGTTTCCCCTTTTTAAGGATTTAACATAGAAATTGTTTGCTCCTATTTGATCAGTTATTTTTTTGACCAATTCAGAACAATTTGCCTGACGTACAAAGATTGGTGGTGGCCTTAGTTGCTTGGTCTGAGGTTTTTGAGCGGTATCATCTTCTTTTGGGTCACTCAAGACAGAAAATCTATTTCTTGTTAGCGCATTGTTTGATACAGTGGCTTCAGCTTTCTTCGTGAGTTTTGATGCATTTGTTTTTTTATCTGCTTGTGGGCTTAATTTTCTTTTAATTTGCACATACCGATCGATTCCGGTTTGAATTAACGATCCGTTAACATTTTTGTTATTTTTTGTTTGGGTATTGGCTAGCTTGTCAGTAAGAGCTGACGAAACAGAAACTGCAGTTGATGTGGTTGTTGTAGTGGTTGTTGTCGCCGCTAGTGTCGATGTCACCGTCTTAAACGATGGCATTGTGCTGGTCGTTATTGTTATCAGCAGATCGTTGGTAATGTTGTAGGGGTCGGGGGACGGGCATTGGGCACTCCACGGCTGTTTTTGTGATGCGCCGCTTGGACATAATAAGGCGGGAGAGAGCGAGCGTGCTCTCTCCGTACTCACTTTTAGTGTTGCAGTTGTTGTCGGTTCTAACTCTTCCGCTCTTATGGAGAAGTAAGCGTTGTTCCTAATTGACGAAAGCCGACGTTCGTCTTGTTGTTGTTGCCGAGCCTTGCTCATTATCGCTTTTCGTTACAGAGCTGGTGCTCTTAAACGTTGGCTTTGTTTATGATCAGCTGTATTATTGTTTATTTTCGTAATTTGAACACAACTTGAAATATTTCCATAGGCAACACGAGTACATGTACCCATGCGTTACCTCAGCGTCTTTTCGCGAAATGGAATTCGGATATTTACGATGTATTTTTAATTACACGGCGGAGCGATATAAAACACGTCTGTTCTCATTGATAGTAGCAAGAGAAAAAGTGAATCCCAGCAGTGGCGTAACTATACCATCTGGGGCCCGTGGCAAATTTTTTTGATGGGGCCCTGTCATTTTAATAAACCGCTTAAGGGGGCTTCTCATGTAATATGTCAAAAATTAGTTGTTTTTTGGGAATTTTTTTTCACTTGGAAAATGAAAACTTACACGAATAATTTTTTGCATATATTTGAAGACATGTTTAAAGTATGAGAAAAACATTTTTTGAAAATTCTAAAAAACAAAATGGCGGACTTATTCAAGGTCGCGTGTGGCGCGACGCGGCTGACGGATTTATTGCGGTACAGTGTGGAGCCCAAAGTTTTCATCGGAAACATACAAAAAACATTTTTTATTATTCAGCAGGGTTCCCCCGAGTGCATGAATGTCTGCAACTTCAAAAAATTCGATTTTAAAATTGTAAGGATGCTAATCACGGGCCAGGATAAATACTCAGTCTATCCAGGGTCCCCTACAGAAATAATTTATAATTTACGGAGACAGACAGGACAAGGAGGCGGGTTCCCTAATTAGGTGCAGGGTTCGAGGGGAAAGTTTGGGTTTGCGTGCCGTGGTTACGCCGTCGGCCCGTCACCCGGGCGACCAGCGGACCTGGGCAGGCCAAGGGCGACCGATCCCGTCAACCGGAAGTCGGCTATCCGGCCCCGTCAACCGGGTGCCGGAGCCCTGCTAGGGGGCGGAGGGTTACGAGCGGCCGATCCCGTCACCCGGGAGTCGACTTGCCAGCCCCGTCAACCGGTTGCTGGTGCCCAAGGAAAAGGAGGTAGTGAGCGGCCGATCCCGTCACCCGGGAGTCGGCTATTCGGCCCCGTCATCCGGTGGCCGG